TGGGGATCTCTTCGGAGCCCTCTCGGACGACTCTTGGAGACAGTTTTGGACGTGTCTTGGGGCCTGTCGGGGGACTCTTGGGGGCCTCCTGATACCTTATTTGGGCCTCTTGGGGGCCTCTGGGGGCTTGGGGAGGCCCTTGGGGGCCTGCTGGCGGTCTCGGGGGTCATCTTGGGGCGGAGGGCTCGAAGTGTCGGTTCGTGTTCCTCCTCTGGGGCCTCCCTCTCCTGGGCTCCTCTTGGGGCCCTATGGGCCGTCTTAGGGGCCTCTTGGGCCGTTTTGGAGACCTTTGGGGCCGTCTTGGGGACCTCTTGGGGGTCTCTTGGGGCGATCGTGTGGGGGGCAACTTGAGGACCTCTTGGACCGTCGTGAGGCCATCTTGGGCGTTTTGGAGCGCTCTCGTGCCGACCCAGGGCCCTCGTGGTTGGCCAGTTCTGGGGCCCTCTTGGCTTCGAAGAGGTCATACGGGAACACGCCCTGGCATGGGGGAAGCGCTGGGAAGCATGGTGGAACCCCTAGACAATTAAGCGTTCGGGCTCTGGGTCCCATGATATTTTGTGCGCACGACTGCGGAGGGAGGGGTCAAGGAATATCAGTACACTCCAACTCGTTATTCAGGGCACGCTGGGGGATACATACATGTGTATATAACTATAGATATACATTCAAATGTTTGTATATCGGTATATGTTGCATATCAGTTTTCGTGTAGTATTTCATGCGCTGGCAGTAATTGTATTTTAATTTATAGCGTAGTAGGTTGTATGACACTTTGGAATATCACGTATTTTTCTAGTTCATCACGGTCTATATTTAGCATATCGGGTTCTGTACCATTGCGTGATCTCATGTTGTAACATGATATATGATATTCGAATATGTTACATCGTATGGTATTGCATGAAATAACATTGTATTTTTGCTGTGCTATACCGTACCATACCACAGCACAGTGTATCAACCAGTATCATGGTTAATTCCAGTCTAGCGTATAACATCATAACTTTTTTGATGCAATCCATCGTGTTCCGAGAAGTTACATGTTATATTGCAACATTATATCACATCAGATTATGTACCGTGTACCCGAATATACATAATCTTGTATTATCGTGCATAGTATTGAATTCTGTTATAGAGCAAACTTTACTATCATACCACAGTATGCCATTTCTTACCTTAGTAAAGTACAATCCAGCGCAGTAGAGTATCTTATATCACATTATCTGCTGTCATGTTCTATCACATTATATGGTTTCGTATACTGCGTTGTTATCGTGTATGCTAAGTTGCAATGCAACATGATGCTTTGTTACGTCCAGTCGTAAGCCATACTATTAAAACGTATCATTTTCCGTTTTAGTTTATCACACTTTTGATGTGTATGGTATCGTATATGGTATTACATGGTATCTTATTGCCGATTACAGTCTTGATTTTCATTTATGGATACGTAGTAGCATGCGGTACTTTTTTGTGTGGGGTGGGATTTATTTCCATATTGTATGATATTGCGCTATTCATTATTTATCTAAACCATACACTATCATACCGTACTAGATTGCACTCGCATAGTTTACATTATACAGTAAGTCAGATCGTTTGTATAGTCCGTTTCTAATGCTATATAATCTTTGGTTACACGTTGCTACAGTCTAGTACATGATGTGATCCAGTGTGTAGTATGTAGTAGAAGGCACGATATAGTCATATAGGATCACAGTATTGTGCCCTTCTACATTCTCTCATATCATATAATAGCATCATCTACATCATTACATGCCATGATACCATATCACATTGTATTGTTCTTTGTGTAGTCTACCATACAATGCCGTATTTTCTATCGTACCATACCATGCCATATCATACTGTATTTGAGTATGCCATAGCATGGGGTCTCATGCCATTTATTTGCTTTCCCGCATGTTTCCATAGTATAGTATAGTATAGTTTGTATTACGGTGGTTTTTAATATGCAGCAACTGTATTTATTATTGTTTGGTATTATAATATAGCCATGTCTTTTTTGTACACTATATTATGTGACATCATATTCTATACATTCGAGCTTAGTGTATCATATTCTAGAGCATGATGTTGTGTTGTTTATTGTATTATGTTGTGTAGCCCCGTATTGTAGCATAGTATATGATCTGTCATGCTTTACAGTCTTATACTTTTGGGGCAAGGCCATATGGCATGTAGTACATTAAGCATATATGTATACATATTTGTATATTTATATAGAGTTATTCACACGTGCGTATACCTATACATCTACGTATATACATATGTATCGAATGGCCTTCGGTCCATCCCGCCACCGTGCTTGGGTTGTGAGTATGAAGCTTACTGCATATTTGTTCGGGTTTCGTGGGGGGCCTCTCGGGGGCCTCTTGGAGGCATATTGGAGGCCTCAGGTCTTGATGGCCATACTGGGGCCGTATTGGAGCTTCTTTGAGGGCCCTTTGGGGCCCTCTTGGGGCCTCTTGGGGGCCTCTTGGGAGCCTCTTGGGACCTCCTGGACGCCTCTTGCGGCCTCCAGGGGGCGGAAGGCTCGGATTTTCGGTTCCTGTTCCCTCTCTGGGGCCCTTGCAGGGCCGCCTTGGGGCCCTCTTGGGCGGTCTTGGGCGCCTCTTGGGCCATCTTGGGGCACTCTTCGGCTGTCTTGGGGCCCTGGGTGGTCTGGGGGGCCTCTTGGCTCGTATTGGGGCCTCGTGGGGACCTCTGTGTCCGCCCAAATCAGGAACATCTGCGAATTTTGCCCCTTGGGGCCCGCTTAGGAAGCCTCTTGGACGCCTCCTGTGGCGCCTTGGAGGCCTCTGGGGCCGTCTGGGGTCATCTTGGGCGTCTTGGAACGATCTTTTGGCGACTCGGAGCCCTCTTGCGCCACCTCCGGGGCCTCTTGGGGCCCTCCAGGCCCGTCTTGGGGCCTTCTTGGGCCCGTGCACGCGCCACCACTTCCCAGAGCCCAGGGGGCACGAGGGAAGCCACGCGGGAAGCCCCAATGGGAGGCACGCGGGAAGCCCTGGGAGATTTTGAGCGCGCGGGGTCCGGGCCCCGTAAGGTTATTCAGGCGTGAGGATCGAGGCTTCGAGGGGTGGGCCCAGGACCTGAGGACACGCCCACTTCGTGCCCAGCGGCACGGTGGCAGATATAGATGTGTATTTGCATAACTGTTCACATCTTATCTCATTCGTGCCTCAAAGCACTGATATCTTCCCAGTTTAGCCGCTTCCGTCTCAACTTGTACGTCACAGTTCTTGCTGGTCGCACTGCCCTCGCGATGGGTGCGTGGCTTGCAGGCAGTCTGGGATTTGAGGTCTTGCGTGCCTGCAATCTTGGGCCATTCTTGGGACTTCCTCGGGCCATCTTGCTGCCATCTCGAGGCCCTTTTTGGGCCTTGTTGGCCAATCTTGGATGTGTCGTGGGGCCTTCTCGGGGAGTCTTTGGGAAGGTCTTGGGCAATACCTGGGGCCTCTTGGGGTCATGTTGGGACCAGCATGGGGCGATCAAAGGCGGTATTTGGGGTCTCTTGGGGCCGCCCTGGGGACTCCTTGCTGTTATCTCGAGGCTTTGGGGGCCGTGTTGGAACTGTCCATGTATCTCGCCATGGCCAAGCAGGCGACAGGCCAAGAACATTTCAGCGGCAAGCGAGGGGGGGGGAGTGAGAAGGAGAAGGCTTCTGAGAAGCTTGCAGGGCTTCACAGAAGCCCTCGCGCCTTCTGAGAGGGTTTTTCCGTGTCTACGGGGAAGGTTTAGAAGACTTCTCAGCAGGCGGAGGGACTTCCCAGCATTCTGAGAAGGCCTTCTCCCCTTCTCGTTTCCCCCCCTCGCTCGCCGCCGATACTCGAATGATCCATGCCTTTTTTTGTGTCCGCGCTGCCGACAGGCGTTCTCGGAGGCCTCGTTGTTTCAAGGTCCGGGTCGGTCCGCGGGGCCCCCTTGCGAGAGGCTCCTGGAGGCCGATAGGGGGAGGTTCTTTTCTGTTGGAGGCCTCGCGGAGTCCCAGCGAGGTCCCGGGAAGCCTCTGTTCGGCGTCACCCCAACAGATTGGAGCCTTTTTTTTAGAGGCCAGTTTACTTGCATGGACGGGGGGGGGCCTGAACCTGAAGCAAGCCGCATGCGACTTGACGTGCGGAAATCACGCAAGTCGAGGGGCACTTGCTCGCTCGTATTCGATAGAAGAGGGGCGATGGGGAGGGGGCGAACGCCATGCAAGTAAATTTGCCTGAGTCTAGAACGAAACAAAGTCCTAGTACTATGTGTGCGTCGACCCCTTTGGGGCGACGCGCGCACCGAGAAATCTTATAGCATATGCGTCGTGGCGGCACGAACGGATCAAGAATTAGGCAACAGTGCGGAGATGCTGCGCTTTGTCCCCGTCCCGTGTGCTTGGTCTCTGCGCCATCCCAGACGTCCATTCACGAACCCACGTGTGTCTGCGTGCGTGCGCGCGTGTGTGTGTGTGTGTGTGTGTGTGTGTGTGTGTGTGTGTGGGCGCCCTCTGTCAGGGCTTGAGGCCGTCAATGCAAACGGGGTCAGGCAAAGCGCCGGATCTTGCAGGATCCTGCGGGGCCAGGGGCGCCCTGACCCGGGTTTGGGTGCAGGACCCTGCAGGACCCAGCAGGATGTTGCAGGATCCTGGAAAGCCCGACTGGCCCGGATTGGGATGAACCCGGGTCAGGAGGTCGCCGAACCCTTTTTACCGGGAACCCACCAATGGGGGCTCACCTGACACTTCCCGGACACTATGGAACCTTTCAGCAGATGATCATGCCACTTACGCCAGCAGCTGACCAGGCCCCGGCCCGCCCGCGCCGCTCCTAAGGGGGCCCGCCTGCCGGCGGACATGCGCGCCTCGTCTCGTCTCGCCATCCGTGGGGGCCGCGGCCCCGCGCCGCCCTGGGGCTCTCGGCGGCGGCGGCCCGCGCCTGTCCGGCCTCCGGCCGGCGGGCCTCGCGCGGGGTTCGGCGGCGGCCCGTGCGTTGCTGCAGGCAAGCCGCTGCGGCTCGCCCCCCCGCGGTGGCCCTTCGTGGAGGAGCCGCGGGCGCGGCCCCCTCTCTCGGCGGCGAGCGAGGGGGGGGGGGCGATCGTGGGGCCTCCTCGGGGCGTCTTTGGGGAGGGCTTGGGCAATGCAGTGGGGGCCCATGCCAAGGCACGCCCTGCTCGCCTCCGGGGTGCCCTGGGTTTCACGGGCTTCGATGGCTTCGCGATGGACAGCGCGACGCTCCCATACCAAAAATCAAGGGACGCCCTGGGGTCTCAGGGGTGGGTTTCTTGTGGTCGGGCCCCTACTGTATCTGGGGCCTCTTGGGGTCATATTAGGATTATCACGGGGCGATCAAGGGCGGCATTCGGGGTCACCTGGGGCCGCCCTGGGGACTCCTTGCTGCCATCTGGAGGCTTTGGGGGCCGTGTTGGAACCGTCCATGTATCTCGCCATGGCCAAGCAGGCGACAGGCCAAGAGCATTTCTGCGGCAAGCGAGGGGGGGGAGTGAGAAGGAGAAGGCCTTCTCAGAAGCTTGCAGGGCTTCACAGAGGCCCTCGCGCCTTCTGAGAGGTTTTTCCCGTGTCTTCGGGGAAGGCTTGGACAACTTTTCAGAAGGCCAGGGGACCTCCGAGCCTTCTGAGAGGGCCTTCTCCTTCTCACTTCCCCCCCTCGCTCGCCGCCGATTCTGTCAGCATCGTCTCACCGATCCCCGCGTCTTGGAGCTGTTTGGGGGTCTGAGGTGGCCCAGCGCTGGTTCTGGCCAGCAGGAATGGCGGGCAGGTTCGAGGTTTTGCGCTCGGGGCAGTGCTTCTTTTTGCCTTTTTAGCGGCCTCCGGGGGCCGCTTTCCGGCCCCGGGACCGTTAAAAACGGATCCGGGCTGAGAATTTCACCAGATGGACCCTGGGAGGGGTCCAGGAGGGCAGATTTGAGCGGGATCGGCTTCATATCCCCCTGACCGATGTTCTGGGGTCCCAGCCACGCCAGACCCGTCGGCCGCCTCCTGGTCTAAACGCTCCCCGCGCCCCAGTCCGATTCCCGCGTTGCTCAGGTCGGTGGCGCTCTCTTCACCTTGCTGGGTAGTCGAAGGCCAGACTGTCAGATTGGATTGGGCCCCAAGGGCCAATATGGCCTGGCCAAACTGGATGATTTGGGTTATTCGCCAGACTGGATTCGCGTTGGCTCCCTCGCCAGATTGCCCCCGTTTGCCAGATTGGGCCTGCCAGATTGGCGCCAGATTGGCTTCGACTACCCAGCCTTGCTTGTCCCTCTCCTCACGCGTGCGGCACGCTCGATTCTCTCTCCCGGGCCACGGTTCCGTGCACGAGCTGGCCTCTCGCAGGTCGGCTCCTGCAGTGCCTCCGGCCTGCCCGGCGACCTCTCGGTTCGCACAGCGATCCGGGCCGCGTCGGGGGCAGCTCCGCGGTCGCGCTCCCCCCCCCTCTTAGAAAACACACAATGGACAAGTCGTCAGGGCGGATCCCAATCTCCACTGGTCGGCCACGCGCAGAGGGGGGCAGGGCGAGGGGGAAGGCTCCTGAGAAGCGCCCCTGCTTCTCAGAAGGCGCGGGCCTCGTCTGCAGACGCAGGGCCCGCGCCTTCGAAGTAGCAGCCCCCTTTCCCCCTTGTGCGCGCCGCCGAACTGGGCCACGGCATCGCAGTCCCACCAGGTCACCCGCGCCCAGGTGGGGATACGCCCCCCGCGAGGCCCGCAGGGGGCCCACGGACCCGCCCCCCCGCCAGATGGGATGGGCCTCAGGGTCCCTCGGGCCCCACTCCCACCCCCCTGGTGGGATGGGGCGGGGAGACGACGACGACGACGACGACGACGAGGACGACGACGACGACGACGACGACGACGACGACGACGACGACGACGACGACGACGACGACGACGACGGCGGCGGCGGCGGCGGCGGCGACGACGGCGACGACGACGACGACGACGACGACGACGACGACGGCGGCGGCGGCGACGACGACGACGGCGGCAGCGGCGCTTGGCTGCTGAGGCGGGCCCCCTAACCTCCGCACACCCACAGGGGGGACCCCACACCACACCCACAGGGGGGGTGGCCACCACGCCACGCCCTCAGGGGGGTGGGTTGGGTGTGGGGCTATCGCGCGGTTGGGGTGGGGTGGGGGGGGGGGGGGCCCGACCCTGGACCGTGTGTCCTCAGCCAGGGGGCCAAGTCGGCCAGCGGGGCCAGCGCCCTGCGCCAGCGGGGGAGGGGCAGGGATAGGACCAACGATGCCTTTCGGGCGGCCACGGGCTCCTCCCGGCCGAGGGCACCCCAGGGGGCCACGCCCCGTAAGAAGAGAAGGGCAGGCCCATGTTCGTTGTTGTGATTTCCCCCTCCAGGCAAAAGTCGGGCGTGTCACTCTACAGAAGGAACACTCAAGAATAATTAAGCAAATAATCTGGTGACGTTCTTTCGTTTTTTGTGTGTGTGTGTGACTCTGCGCGCGCGCGCGCGCGTGTGTGTGTGTGTGTGTGTGTGTGTGTGTGTGTGTGTGTGTGTGTGTGTGTGTGTGTGTGTGTGTGTGTGTGTGTGTGTGTGTGTGTGTGTGTGTGCGTGTGTGTGTGTGTGTGTGTGTGTGTGTGTGTGTGCGTGTGTGTGCGCGCGCGCGCGTGTGTGTGTGTGTGTGTGTGTGTGTGTGTGTGTGTGTGTGTGTGTGCGTGCTTGTGTGCGTGTGCAATTCTTTTTGACCATGCTTTGAAGATTTGATGTTTTCATCATAATCTGCCTGCAGGAGAGTATGCCCAACCTAACTCCAGAAGGCAGTCGGTTCGTACGTGGTCTTTGCCGTTGGTGGTCCCTTCTCGGCAGCCCTTGAGTGCATCCTCGCCAACCCAAGTGGGTGTTGGACTCGGATCGCTGGTCAGGGTGGCGCTCGGAGCAGGTCGGCGGCGGACTCCGAGCAGGTCTCGGCGCAGGGTCTGTGGCCGTCGCGCTCTGCCGGTGGCCAGGGCACCGAGAAGCATTCAATATAATAGGATTAGGTCGGGCGTGTCCCCCTACAGGCGGACTTTGGACGAACAATAAAACAGATGAAAAAATACACAAGCGATTGTCAATTATTTTTGGTGGTTATTTTTGAATATCCCTCCTGTGGAGGGACATGCCCGACTTACATATTTGGGCAGTGCATTGCTTCCAGTCCTGGCCAAGCTCCGTTTCATCGTTTCCGGGTCTTTCTAAGGTGCAAATGGTCGTTCAATGTCTCCTGGCCTGTGGCTTGTTTATCGGAGACGCCTACGGCGAACCACCGCCGCCCCCTGCCTTTTTGGAAGCGCCCATGTGGCCGAACTTTGAGGCCAGACCTGCCAAGCCATCGGACCATGTGTTCCCCGAATCGGTTTGGAAAGCCTTCGGGGAACACGTGGGCATCTTGAAGGTCATCTTGGCCGTCTTGAAGGCCTCTTGAGCGATCTTTCGGCCATCTTTTGGGGCTCTTGGGCCGTCTCGGGCCGTCGGAAGGCCGAAAAGAAGGAAATGTCAAAATCCGTCAAAAACCTAAGGATAATCAATGTTTTTGGCCTCTTCTGGCCTTCCTGGAGGCCCTCTTGGGGGCCTCTTGGGCCGTCTTGGCCCAGCTTCGAGCCAACTTCGGCCATCTTGGTGGGTTCCTGGCACGTCTGACGCCGTCGGGAGCCGTCTTGGGGGCCTTTCTGGGCCAACGGGGGACCCTCTTGGGGCGCTTCGGGGCCGTCTTGGGGGCCATCTTGGGCGTCTTGGAGGCCATCTTGGGCGTGTTGGAGGCCTCTTGGGCCGTCTTGGGGCCCTCTTGGGGCCATCTTGGAGGCCACTTGGACCGTCATGGGGCCCTCTTGGGGGCCTCTTGGGCGATCTTGGGGGCCTCTTGGGCCGTCTTGAGCCGTCGGCATGCCGAGGAGAAGCAAATTCCAAAATCCTTCAAAAACCTAAGGAAAGCAATGATTTTGGCCTCTTCGGGCCCTCCTGGAGGACCTCTTGGAGGCCTCTTGGGCCTGGGGGGCCTCTTGGGCCGTCTTGGGCAGTCTTGGACTCTCTTGGGCCGTCTTGGAGGCCGTCTTGGACCATCTTGGGCGGACTTGGAGGCCATCTTGGGCCATCTTCGCGATTTTTTGAGGATGTCCCGAGCGAAACGGCCGTTTCAGGGAGGATTTTTTCCGGAGTTTGTGCACGTGGGCAGGCCTCCTGGGACCCCGGCGGGACGGGCCGAAACCCATTGGGAGAGTTCTTTTGGAACAAGAACCAAAACCAAAACCGTAAAAGTCCAGCACGCCAGGCACCCCTGCGATGAATCGACAGGGGGCGGCGGATTTTCAAGTAGCGTTCGGCCCATCCCGCCACCGTGCCTCGGTTGTGGATCTGAAGCCTGTTGGATGTTCGTTGGGATGTTCGCTGGGATCTCGTGGGAGGCCTCTCGGGGGCCTCTTGGAGGCAGTTTACAGTCCTCTTGGGGTTCGTTCTGGGGCCTGTTGGGGCCTTTTTCGGGCCTCTTGGGGGCCTCTTGGGGTCTCCTGGTCGCCTCTTGGGGCCTCCTGGGGGCCTCTCGGGGGGGGCGGAAGGCTCGGATTTTTGGTTCGTGTTCCCTCTCTGGGGCCCCTGTTGAGGATCTCTTGGGCCGTCTGGGGCGCCTGTTGGGCCGTCTTGGGGCGCTCTTCGGCCGTCTTGGAGCCCTCTTGGAGGCCTCAGGTCCTGGCGGCCGTACTGGGGCTCCTTGGAACCTCTTGGGGGACTCTTTTGGGCCTTTTGGGGCCTCTTTTGGGTCTCTTGGGGGCCTCCTGGTCGCCTCTTGTGGCCTCCTGGGGGCCTCTTGGGGTCTCCTGGGGGCCTCTTGAGGCGGGAGGCTCGGATTTTCGGTTCGTGTTCCCTCTCTGGAGCCCTCCTGGGCTGTCTTGGGCGCCTCTAGGGCCGTCTTGGGGCGCTCTTCGGTCGTTTTGGGGCACTCTTGGAGGTCTCTCGGGCCGTTTTGGGGTGGTCTTGGGGGGCCTTTTGGGACGTCTTGGAGCGTCGGAAAGCCGAAAAGGCGAGAACGCCAAAATCCTTCAAACACCGAAGGAAATCAGTGAATTTTGCCTCTCGCCAGGGCCCCAGTTCCATAGAGGATGGGGGGAGCTTCGAGGGGGGGAGGTCCCGGTCCAGAGCGGGGGATGTTGGGGATTTTGCATTAGAGAAGCGTACACAGAACATGCTCTCTTCAACGTCAAGTTGTGCGATCATTGACTCATCCGTTATGGCATGAAGGATGGGAGTGGACGGGACCCGCTGACTCATCCGTTATGGCATGAATGATGGGATGAGAGTTCTGTGTCGAATATTCGTGGAGAGCGCCTGCGGCGAGGGGCCAAACGTTGGGCCCAAATCCTGACAAACTCTTGAGCGATGTGTTCCTCCAGGCGTTGTGGAACCCTTGGAAGAACATTTGATCGAGGAGGCACGTTGGAAATGATCACCCCCAGCTGCGCTCTCAAGACCTCGAGAGAAGAATTGCCGCGCCCTGGGAGCGACCAGAAGCGCCCAGGAACGCACGGAACTCTGGGCGCGCTGTGCCCCTAAAGGTCCTCTCCGACATCCGCACCGGATGACGCTGTACCCAGTGCCTTGCGGCAAGGTGGCGGGTTTTTTGCACTCTTCACCCCCTTCGCCTCCTCTTCCTCTCTCCTTCCTCTTTCTCCCCTATGTCCTCGTCCTCCTCCTCCTCCTCCCTTCTCCCTCCTCCTCCTCCTCCTCCTCCTCCTCCTCCCTCCTCCTCCTCCCTCCTCCTCCTCCTCCCTCCTCCTCCTCCTCCTCCTCCTCCTCCTCCTCCTCCTCCTCCTCCTCCTCCCTCCCCTCCTCCTCCTCTCCTCCTCCTCCTCCTACTCCTCCTCTCTTCTCCTCCTCCTCCTCCTCCTCCTCCCTCCTCCTCCTCGGGGGGTTGGGCGAAGGACGCGCTTTACGATGCCATCGGCGGCTCCACGGAGTTCGCGCACCCGAAGCCGCCTGGCTGCCGGGCGGCAGCGGCCTCCGCGCGGAGGACCTCGGGGCTGCACCCGCGGGGGGTGCTGCGAGGGGGAGGCGCACCTCGACCTCCTCCTCCTCCTCCTCCTCCTCCTCCTCCTCCTCCTCCTCCTCCTCACGCCTCCTCCTCCTCCTCCTCCTCCTCCTCCTCCTCCTCCTCCTCACGCCTGCGAGCACCCCCGGCGTCGTGATTTTTTCGCGACGTCGACCTCTAGAGGCCTGGACCCCTTCTCCGGGACCGGCGTCTCCTCCCGAGTCGTCTCCGGACGGCCCCGGGGCCCGCCCAGGGCCCCCCGCGGGGCCGAACACGCCGAGCAGCCTCCCGCCGCGACTGCTTCACGACGCGGGGGGGTCTGGGCGGGCAGGCGGGGGGCGGCCAACGCGTCGGGGCGCTCCGGGCCAGGCCCCGCCGCCGATGCCCCGAAGGGCGGGCCTCCGAGTTGGCGCCGGTGCCTCCCCGAGCGGGCGCTCGGACGCCGGGGGCTCCCTGCGACTTCCACCGAACCTCGGGGCGCGGCCCCTGTGATCCGGGCACGAGGAGGAGGAGGAGGAGGAGGAGGAGGAGGGAGGAGGAGGAGGAGGAGGAGGAGGGAGGAGGAGGAGGGAGGAGGAGGAGGAGGAGGGAGAAGGGAGGAGGGAGGAGGGAGGAGGGAGGAGGAACAATGCAAATAACAGTAAGACTAAGAAGACGAACACTATTACTAACAACAATGATATGAACTGTATTTTTTATTAATCGTAATAATGGCACTACTATCAGTTACTAATGACAATAATAGTAGTACTATGATTCAGAACAAGCGCACCAGTCAACATATGATTAATAATAATGTTAACCGAGGAGGACACATAGTAAGCATATATTAATAGTACGAGCATTCATCATATAACAAAGACTAAGACGAATAATAATCCTACTAATACGGCTACTAATCGTCACATTCGTAATCATAAGGAACATACGGTTACCAGTAACAGTAGTTTATATTCATAGTTCCACGAGTAGTATAGCCCTAATACTACAATCAACAATACCACTTTTAATATTTTTGCAAGTTATGCCGATATTACTAAGAGTATGAACATTATTACACATAGTACGAATATGTACATTAAGCATTATTCACAAGACAACCAATAATAACACTGACCGCAAGAGTTAGTTTGATACGAACAATGCTAATACAAAGAAGAAGATGGCTATTACTCATAAGCACAACAATAACAAACTTAGTAAGACGAGCAGTACGAAGCATACTGATAATATTCAGAAGAGGCATACTACTATTAATAAGTATAACACCAATATCATTATTAGTACTACTACCACCATGAATGCTAATGTTATGGAGAATCATACAGGGATTAATGATAGCAAGAACAATATTAATACTAATATTAAACGGTGTAGTAATATCAATCACACGAAGACGAGGATTACGACTAATACTTATACAAGGAAGAGGAATACTCATACGAATCATATTAACAGTACGCATATTAATGTTATTAAAATAAGAAGCACAACCTGAAGAAACATCATTTCCATATCCATCATATTAAGAATATTCATAATAACACTAGAATCTTAATGCTAACAATAATAAACGAATGCGGCCACTACCACTAGCAATAATAATAATGCTACTCGGAATAACAATAAGAATAGCATCAATTATACTGACAAGCAGAGTCATGGTATTAATAAGAAGAGTCACAGTGATAATAATACGAATAAGCAGAAAAGTGATACTACTACTACTAATACTAAGAAGGCTAATGCCAATACTCATAATAGTAGTACTGCAACGAGTCTTAAACATAGTAGTAATACTGATCGTCATAATAATAATAAGACTACTAATCATAATAATAATATTCAGAATCGTAGCAAGACGTACAATAATACATTCGAATACAAGTACAACCCACGCGAATAATGATAGTACAACCACGAATAAGAATACAACTAACAGTTATGCTGATAATAATAAGACTAATACTTATGACAATAATAATATGCATAATACTCGTAATACTAATCCTATTAGTAATGAGAAGAACACGAGTAAACAATACTAATAATGAATAAGACGAATAACAAGTGATACTAATAAGACAAGCAATAAGTATATTCATCATAATCAGACGAGGAGCTGGAGGACGAGGAGGAGGATGAGGACGAGGAGGTGGAGCATATGCCTCCAGGGGCCCCCGGGAGAAGCGGCCCCGCCTCCCGCTCTCGGCGGAGTCCGCAGGGAGGCACGCAGGGAGCGGCGGAGGCGGAGCGTTGGCGGCGCCGCCGGCGGCGCCGCCGGCGGAAGCCTGGCGGAGTCGAAGGAGTCGGAGTGACCTTCCGGACGGTTTGGACCTGGAGCCGTTTGGACAAAGGCGAGCTGCTGCTCGTGCGAGAAACGGCCGCGCCCTCGCTCGATCACACCGATCTCTTCCAGCAGTAAGAGCTGCTCGTCGGTGGACCCACTGCTGCGCGATGTCTTGCGCAAGGGGGACGAGGAGGGGGGGAGGGGGGGAGGAAGGAGGTGGAGGGGGAGGGGGGGAGGTGGCGGAGTTGGCGGACCCCCTCGAGTGATGAAAAAATCATGACGGAGGGTTTCTCATTATTTTCGGCCTCCGGAGGCCCTCACCGGGCCTCGGGACCGTCAAAAAATGGCTCGGAATGAGAAGTGGGTCCCGGGGAGTGGGTCCAGACCTCTGGCAGTCGACGTCATGACAAAAGTCATGACGTCGTGTGTCTGGGTTTGGTGCGGGGCACACTGGGGTTTCCAGATGGCTGAATGCGGTGCGATAGCAGCGGCTTGCGCGCTCCGAGTCGGCCTCCCCACGGCGCCCGAAAGTTGCGCACCGAAGGTCGCTCTTGCCTAGGCTTACTCTTGCATGTAGCCGAAGGAGGAACAACGGCATAAACGTAAACCTTCGACTGTCCCAGACCCCCTCGCGCTGCGACACAAATCGCGACGGGAGGTTCTTGTCGCTACTTTCGGCCTCTGGGGGCTCTTGCTGGGCCCCGGGACCGAGAAGCGACTCCGGATAAAAGACCGGGCCTGGGGAACGGGTCCAGACCTCTGGGGGTCGGCGTTGTGAAAAAAAAAACACGATGTCGGGGGTCTGGGGTCCGCGCGGACGTCCTGGATCGGCGCTGGGCCCCCCCCCCAGCGGCGCCTTCGGCGCCGCCCCTGGCGCGCTCCGCGCGTCCCAGGGAGGAGGGTCCAGTGCTGATCCAGGGGATCCCCCCAGACCGTTTGGAGTTTATGCTTGCATTCAAGTCGGGCGTGTCCCTCTCTACAGGAGGAATTTTCAAGAATAGTCAAAGAATCGTATGGGACGATTTTTGATGATTTGTTTTGATTATCTTTTGAGCAGTTTTTAGTTATTTTTCATTTTTCGTTTAAAATCCGCCTGTAGGAGGACGTGCCCGACCTAAGCTTATGCTGATTTCTCTTCCTCCACGGAAGCCGGCGGACGCCAAAGCTCTGGGGGGTTTGCCAGGCAAACGCTCTCGTGACCCAGCTCCTCCATCCCCACTGCGCAGCCTCCGAGGGCCACCATTCTCGATTCGAGCAGCCACATCGTGCGCCCCGTGTCGGCTGATTTTTACCTTTTAGGCCCCTCACGAAGCGTCCCTCCCGAAGGTGCAGCTGCCGGCAAAAGCGCCCCGCGGCGCGAGGCCCGTCCGAACACTTCGCAGACGTATTCGGGACCTGGGAGCCCGGGGGTGCCGGCTGAAGCGGCCGCCTCTGGCGGCGTCGGAAGTCTATTCAGGAGGGGAAAAAATACACAGACACAATTAATCGTCGATTCCCAAGAAAATATGGGAAAGTATGGGAAGTGGGGGGGAAGACAAAAACCCAGAAAATATGGGGAAATATGAGGAATCTGGTTATTTGTGTCTATCTATTTGTGTGTTCCAGTTCCCCTTCATTTATGCTTATGCGTTTTCTTCTTCCTCTGGACGTGACCTCGTGCCGCGCGTCATAATTGGGATCAAGTCGGGCCTGTGCCTCTGCATGAGGAGTATTCGAGAAGAGTCAGACAATAGGGTGGGGACTTTTTTTCGACTACTCTTGGACCATTTTTGAGCATGCTTTGATATCAACCAGCGTTGACTCCAAATTGAGTAGACGACTCAAATCAAGGAATCAGCGGAATCAAGCATGCTTGGAATCTGCAACTCAGCAAGCAAGCAAGCGTGCAAGCAAGCGCGCAAGCAAGCAAGCAAGCAAGCAAGCACGCAAGCAAGCAAGCAAGCAGGCATAGGCATAGATGTAGGCATAGGAGTTAGGGGGAGGCATAGGCATAGGCATAGCCATAGGAAATACCGGGGGGGGGGTGTATGGGAATTGGGGGGGGACAACGGACCAATTAGTAGGGCTTGAGCTAGGACTCCTATGGGGCAAGCCTATTTGGAGAACAATTTTCGATCTTTCTCCCAACATCCGCGTGTAAGGGGGACATGCCTGACCCGAGATTAAGACCTCTGGCGGCCGCACGGGACCTGTCGGGCACCCCCAGCACGCTGCGGGGCGGGCCCGCAGCTGCTCGCAGGGCAGGCGCCCCGAGGCTCCCCGAGAACCCTCGGAGCCTCCCGAAGGCAGATCGGGCCGTTCTTTCGCGCCCAAGCCTTTTCCTCACACGCTCGGTGGGGTTTTGATTTTCTTCCTTCCCGTGTCCCACCCGCGTCTCCCTCACACACCTTCGCCTCCCTCCCTCCTCCCTCCTCCCCTCTTCTTTCTCTTTCACCTCGCCCACGCGCAACACATGCACGGCACGTGCATGAGACACGCGCCCACATGCAGCCGCACGCATGCACACGCTCGCGCACGCGCACGCACACACACACACACACACGCCCACACACCCGTGCAGCGCCAGTGCACACATGCACGGCACGCACATGAGACACGCATCTACATACAGCCACACACATGCACGCACTCGCACACACACACACACACACACGCACACTACATCCCCAGGACGAAAGTTTTTCCTCGTGGGCCCGCAACGAAGGTTTGAAGTCTTAAGCAGACGCGTGTGAAATACCCGCCGTCGGACCCAAGGAAGTTCGCACGGATCCAATTTTGGTTTTGGTTTATGTTTTCACGGATCCGATTTCCGTCCGCGCGGATCCGATTTCGGATTTGCTGGATCCGTGTTCGCTCATATTTTTCACGGCGGATCCGATTTCTACCCTGTTTTAAATTTATGTTATTAAATAAAAAAGGGAACCGGAAGAAGTCGGATCCGCGGACCCCGCAAACCGCCCGCGTTAAGATTCTACGGGGGAGGGGGGTTCGGTAATCAACGTTCCACGATGGGCGCTGCGTCGTCTCGCGCACTCCCATCAACTCCCCGCGCGAGCGGGCCCCATTCAACATGAATACATACATCCCTCTCCCCCCGGTTGCTGCAAACAGCTCGTCTGGTCGCCGTCCGTTCGGCGGCGCCGACGTCGTCTCGCGAACTCCTCATGGCCATTTGCACCTCAAGAGGAAAATCTTTCGTCCTGCGTAAGTGCGTTTCGGCCCTACGTTTCCTGACCCAACGCGCGGGGTTCTTCTTCCGGGTGTTGCGAGGACGTCTCGAGCAGGAACTCCTGACTGCACGCGGCGCCGACGTTGTCTCGCGAACTCCTCATCCGCTCGCGCATGATACACATACGTATGACACGCTATATCCAAGACATACGTGTAGGCTTGGCAGTGAATAGCAGTCGTGACATATCCTCGACACCATGGGGGCGCGCAGGGGGTGGTCTCTGAGCGCGGCCGCTATCCGTCACAGTCGTCCAGGGCATAGCAGGCCTGGCATATGCTCGACACCATCGGGGGTGCGCAGGGGGTGGTCTCCTACAGCGGTCTGTACACGCCCCAATCGGCCAGGCACAGCAGGCGTGGCACTTCCTCGACACCATAAGGGGGTGCGCAGGGGGTGGTCTCTCACCGCGGTCTTTGTGCGCCGTGGTCGTCCGCGCACAGCATGCGTGGCAGTTTCTCGACACCACATGGGTGCGCAGGGGGTGGTCCTTCACCGCGGTGTTTATACGCCCCAGTCGTCCAGGCACAGCAGGCGTGGCACTTTCTCGACACCATAAGAAGGGGTGCGCAGGGGGTGGTCTCTCACCGTGGTCTTCGTACGCCGTGGTCGTCCATGCACAGTAGGCGTGGTACTTTCTCTACACCATCGGGGGTGCGCATGGGTGGTCTCCCACCGCGGTGTCTATACGCCGTGGTCGTCCAGGCACAGCAGGGGTGGCATTTTCTCGACACCATAATGGGGTGCGAAGGGGGTGGTCTCTCACAGCGGTCTCTGTATACGCCGCGGTCGTCCAGGCACAGCAGGCGTGACATTTTTTTTCGTCACCATCGGGGGTGCGCAGGGGGTGGTCTCTCACCGCTGTGTCTATACGCCCCAGCCGTCCAGCCACAGCAGGCGTGGCAGTTTCTCTACACCATAAAGAGTGCGCAGGGGGTGGTCTCTCACCGCGGTCTTCGTAGGCCGTGGTCGTCCATGCACAGGCGTGGCACTTTCTCGACACCATAATGGGTGCGCGGGGGGTGGCCTCTCACCGCGGTGCCTATACGCCCCATTCGTCCAAGCAGCGCAGGCGAGGCACTTTCTCGACACCGCAAGGGGGTGCGCAGGGGGTGGTTTCTCACCGCGGTCTCTATACGCCGTGGTCGTCCAGGCACAGCATGCGTGGCAGCTTCTCGACACCGTGGTGGGTGCGCAGAGGGGTGGTCTTTCACCGCGGCTTCTATATGCCCAGGCGCAGCAGGCGTGGCACTTCCTCGACACCATAGCAGGGGGTGGTCTCTCATCGCGGTGTCTATATACACCCCAGTCGCCCATGCACAGCAGGCGTGGCATTTACTCGACACCACAGGGGATGCGCAGGGGGTGGTTTTTCACCGCGGTGTCTATACGCTCCAGTCAACGCGCGTCTAGACTCGTGCGCCGTCCGCCTGCCCACCTACAGTCCCACTCTCGTCCGTGGTCGCCATGGCTCAGGTTGTTGTTCGCACAGCGTGTCAGTCTCCCATGGCTTGCCCAGCGTCGCCAACGGTATCGGCTGGGCAACGGCCGCCAGCATCATTGTCGCATGTTTCACTTCAACTATCATCATCTCATACATAACACAAGTATATGGGTTTCCTCGGTAGCGCAATTTTGGAGCGTCGGATCTCTAGGCTGAAAGTTTCTCCTGCCCCCGAGGACGCTCGCGAGGCTCCTGGCCCCCGAGGCCCGCGACCGAAGACGCTCTGGGTGGGAAGCCTGCCTTCGAGGCCCGACCGAGGACGCTCGGGAGGCTCCCGGCCAGCGCGCTGTCTCCCTTCGGCCCCCCCCGCGCTCGCCCGAGGACGTCTCTGGGCGCTTTTCTTGGGAGGCCCCCGCGGAGGCCCCAAAAACGGCGGGGAACGCCGCAGGCCGATCCGCGAATCTCGAGGGGGCCCAACCTTCGGGCCACCTCTCGGGCCTCCTGCGGCCGGTCTGCTGCGAGCCGAGCAGCCCGAGGAACCGCTCTCGGCGAGGCGCAGCTGCCGGGGAGCATCCCGAGGGCGGCAGCCCGCCGAAGGCCTGCGAAGCCGTGCGGGCACCTCCCCCCCCAGACGCCCGAGAACACTCCCCTGTGGGAGAGACCTCCTCCTCCTCCTCCTCCTCCTCCTCCTCCTCCTCCTCCTCCTCCTCCTCCTCCGAGGAGGAGGAGGAGGAGGAGGAGGAGGAGGAGGAGGAGGAGGAGGAGGAGGAGGAAAGACAAGGCAGCAAAGCAGCAGCAAAGCGCCGAGGGTCGATCCTCGAGCCTCTGGGGTTCTGGGCGCGCGGCGCGCGCCCCGACACGGCGGCGACAGCTGGTGCCAATGGCCGGAGTGCGCGCGCGCGCGTGCGAGCGGAGGGGCGGGAACAACGCGGGCAGCGGCGGCCCCGCAGGCACCGGGAAACCGCCGAGAGCAGAAAAGGGCCAGTGGAAGCCGCGGAAGGTCGACCCTCGGATCTGGGGTTCAGTCGGGCACGTCCCTCTTCTGCAGGAGGCATCTGCAGAGACTGGCAGCAACAAAAGTACGGGGACGATGTTTCGATTTTGTTTTCTCGCTCCCTGTACTGATCTTTGGACTATTTTTCGTTCCTCTTCCAAACTCCGCCTGCAGGAGGACATGCGCGACCTAAGCCTGGGGTTATGTCGGGCGTGTCCCCCTACAGGGGGATTTTCGCCAAATCATTAAAAACTCTCCAAAAATAATCCCAAAATAGTCAAAATAATCCAAAAATAGTCTGGGGACTATTGTTTGAGTATTTTTTGACATTTTGGGGTATTTTTGGTGTATTTCTCATTTTTCGTGGGAAATCCCCCTGTAGGAGGACATGTGCGACCCAAGCCTGGGGGCCTGGGCGCGTGGTGCGCTCCCCGGCCGCGCAGGCACCGCGCGCGCGTGGAGGCGCTCGGCGCCGAGTACCCGCCGGAGGCGGCGGAGGTGCTGCGCCGGCTCGGCGAGGCGGCGCTCGTGGAGGCCGCGCCGCGCGCGCGCGCTGTCGGGCAGCGCTTATTAGGGGAGCAAGAAGTGGCGCAAGCATAACTCGGAGGTCAAAAAGTGGCATGAACGTAAAAGCCCGGAGGTCCGCGCGGATTTCTCGGATCGGCGCTGGGGCCCCCCGGCGGTGCCTCCGGCGCCGCCCCTGGCGCGCTCCGCGCGCCAGGGGGTGGGGTCCAGCGCCGATCCGAGAAATCCGCGCGGACCTCTGAGTTTTTATGTTTATGTCACTTTTCGTTCCCCTAGCGCTGGGCGGCCCTCGCCTTAGGTCGGGCATGTCCTTCTGCAGGTGGATTTTGGAAGAGAAGTGAAACATAGTCGAGAAGATTGTCCAAGCATAGTAGCACATGGTGGAAATATCGTCCCCATTTTTCCATGCTGTCAAGAAGAGACATGATTTTCCAATATTCCTCCTGTAGAGGGACGTGCCCGACCTGACCCTCGCCCCCATGCCTCGGTTCAGGGGCAGAGATAGGGGCGGACAGGCGTAATTAGGGGGGGATGCATCGACCCCCCAATCGCCCATTGATCGCCGATCCCAGACCCACTCTCGCGTCGTGAAAAAATCACGACGGGAGGCGCTTCGCTATTGTCGGCCTCCAGGGGCCCTTACCCTGCCCCGGGACCGTCAACGAAACGATTCATTATACGCAAAACCGGTCCCGGGGAAGGGGCCCAGACCTCTGGGGGTCGGCGTTGTGGAAAAATCACGACGTCGGCGGTAAGGGATCGGGGCCCGATACTATCGGAGGCCCATCGCCGATCTGTCGGCGATGTCTCGCCGATTCCATTGCGATGCGCCCCCCCATGTGCCACTCCGCCCTGTCGTTGCCCCTCATGATTGGACAACTCTGCGGAGCGCGGCCCAGGGGGTCTGTAAGCTCTTGCTGGCAGCGTCCTCCCTCCCAGTGCGCGCCGACGATTGGCCGTGGAGGCTGGAGCCCTCCACGTGCGCGCGGGCCATACGGAGCTGGAACTGGGCTTGGGCGTGGGGCCAAACTTCGAACTTCGCCCCGCTTAAAAAAACTTTACGACACATATTCGTTGACTTAGGCTGCGCATGCCAATCGGCCAAGTAGAGGGGGGATCCGCCCCCCATCTTGGCGCTGGCGAACCAGACGACGACGACGGCGGCGACGACGACGATGGCGAGCACGACTGCGGCGGCGACGACGACGACGACGACAGCGACGGTGACGGCGACGGCGACGGCGACGGCGTCGGCGACGATCACGCCGATGACGACGGCGACGGCGACGAAGACGGTGGCAGCGGCGACGGCGTCGGCGACGACGGCGGCGACGAAGGCGGCGGCGGCGGGCGGCGGGCGGCGGCGACGGCGGCGGCGGCGGCGACGACGACGACGGCGACGACGCTGTGGACGACGACGCCAACGACGACGACGACGACGTCGATGCTGTCGACGACGGCAGCGGCGACGACGACGACGACCACGACGGCGACGGTGACGGCGGCGGCGGCGGCGACGGCGACCACGACGATGGTGACGACGTCGACGACGACGGCGGCGGCGGGCGGCGGGCGGCGGGCGGCGACGACGACGACGACGGCGACGGCGATGGCGGCGCTGACGGCGACGGCGACAGCGACGGCAACGACGACGACCACGATTACGACCACGACCGTGACCACGACCACGACCACGACCACGACCACGACCACGACCACGACCTCGACGAAGGCGACGACGACGACGACGCCGCCGGCACGGCGACGACGACGACGACGACGACGGCGACGGCGACGGCGACGGCGACGGCGAAGGCGACGACGACGACGACCACGACCACGGCTGCGACCGTGACCACGACCACGACCACGACCACGACCACGACCACGACCACGACCACGACGAAGACGACGACGATGACGACGGCGGCGGCATGGCGATGACGACGGCGACGGCGACAGCGACGGCGACGGCGACAGCGACGGCGACGGCGACGATCACGACCATGACCACGACCACGACCACGACCACGGACACGACCACGGCTCCGACCGCGACGACGACGACGGCGGCGGCAGCGGCGGCGGTGACGAGGATGGCCACGACAACGGCGACGACGACGACCAGCAGGACCACCACGACGACGACGACTACGACCACGACGACGTCAACGCCTTCAAACTGGTCGATGTCGTTCGTCGCGACGTGCGTCGTCGCCATCGGCCTTGCCGTCGCCGGCGTCGTCTTTCGCCAGCGAGGCTGTTGGTCGGATGGCCGGCGGCGGGACACGTCGTCGTCGTGGCGGGCTGGCGAGTGGGTCGGGTGGGCGTGCGCGACACGTCGTCGTCGTCGTCGTCGTCGTCGTTTCGGAGGGTTTTGCGTGTGTCTGAAGTTTTCGTCACCGCAGTTGGACGCAGCTCGAAGGGATGGTCGGGGTGGACGTCTGGAGGCTTCTGGGGTCATCCTGCTCCTCCCGGGTCGGTCCGGCGTCCAAGCTGCCCAGACATGCTCGTGTCGTTACCAGAAAGTATCGACGGGAGGTCTTTGGCTGTTTTCGGCCCCTGGGGGCCCTCACTGGGCCCTGGGGCTGCCAAACACGACTTCGGGATCAAATGCCAGCCCTGGGGAAACGGCTTGGACTTCTGGAGACGCCGTGCCGAACAACGACAGGCCGTCGGATGTCTGGATGAACAGTCTGGCAGCTGCAAGGACTTGAGTCTGCCCCAGCACAAGCCGACTTGCTTCACGCTTTGAAGGCGCTCTGGCCGTCAACGGCCGCTCCCCCACCTTCTCCTCCCGCGGGTCCTTGGCATTAAGTGCCTAGTTTGCTCAACAGCAGTCCCGTTGTAGCTCGACGACACCTTGGACCCAAGGCGCCGCAGATCAATCCGTTAGGGTGTGCATGGGGGAACGAACAGTGACAAAAACATGAAAACTCGGAGGTCCGCGCGGATTTCTCGGATCCGCGCTAGACCCCCCTGGCGGCGCCTCTGGCGCCGCCCCTGGCGCGCTCAGCGCGCCAGGGAGGGGGCCAGCGGACCTCCGAGTTTATGTTTTTGTCACTGTTCGTTCCCTTAATGCAGTCCTGCGTGGGTGCTTGCGGGGCCGCCGTTGTTCTGGTTTTTCCAGCCTCGTCGCTCGCACGCGCGCGCGCGCACTCCAGTCATTGGCCGCCCTGTGGCCGCCGTGTCTCGCGGAGCGCGCAGCCGCCAATGAGCAAGTGTGCGTGCGGCTGGACCCGCCATCTGTGCCAGCGCGACGGTGCGGTTGCGATTGGGGGGGTTCAGGGGCAACGTTAGAGTTAAGTCGGGCGTGTCCCTCTACATGAGGTTGGAAGATAAAACAAATCGTCGACACATCGTTTGGATATTTTTCAACAACAACAACAAAAACAACAATATTTGACCCAGCGTGTTCTACCGCTGCTGGCGGAAAACCGGGGGGGGTCACTGGGGGTTCCCAACCCGTCCCCCTCCTCGAAAACGGGGGGGGGGGGGGTGTCACTACCGGTTCGAACCCCTCCCTCACCCCCCGGTCCATCAGGTCACTACCGGGGGGCCCTTACCGGTTCGAACCCCCCCTCCCCCTCCCCCCCTCGCCGCCGGCAAACGAGTCCCGCTCCTCGGGACAATTGGACAATGGTGGGGATGCTGGGACAGTGGTGGGAACGGTGGTGGTGGGGACGGTGGGACAGTGGTGCGGACAGTGGTGTGGACGGTGGTGGTGGGGACAGTGGTGAGGGGACAGCGGGACACTGGTGGGGACAGTGGGACAATGGTGGGGACGGTAGTGGTGGGGACAGTGGTGAAGGCGGTGGTGAGGACAGTGGTGGGACAGTAGTACAGTAGGAGTGGTTGGGGCCGTGGAGAAGGTGGGGAGAGTGGAACCGTGGTGGGAACAGTGGTGGGGACAGTGGGGATAGTGCGACAGTGGTGGGGGCACTGGTGGGGACAGTTGGGACGATTGGTGGTGGGAACCGTGGTGGTGAGGACAGTGGAGCTGTGGACAGCAGTGGGGGATGTGGTGCTTACGGTGGTAGGGACCCTGGAGTTGTTTGCTGGCGGTGAGCGTGCGGAGGGGGGGGAGGGGTTCGAACTGGTAGTGGCCCCATCCGGTTTTCTGGAGGGGGGGGGTAGGTGGGTTCGAACCGGTAGTGACCCCCCCCGGTTTCTGGAGGGGGGGGGGGAGGGGTTCGAACCGGTAGTGGCCCCCGTCTGGTTTTCTGGGGGTGGGTGGGAGGGGTTCGAACCGCGGTAGTGAACCCCCCCGGTTTTCCAGAGGGGGGGGGTTCGAACCGGTAGTGACCCCCCCTGTTTCCGGGGGTGGGGGGGGGTAGGGGAGGGGGGGGGTTTGCCGGGGGGAAAGGGGGGGGGGGGTTCCAGCACGGGGGGTGGGGGGGATTTCGGAGGGGCGGGGAAGAGACCCCCGGGTTCCGGAGGAAGAGGGGGGGAAGTCTCCAGGGGGGAATTTTCAAAGTCAAGCGGCGGTGGATCACGATCTCTCCATTATTTGAACATTTGTATGTTCTTTTTTTGGGGGGGGGTGGCAATTCGCTATTTTTCTTACAAGATCCGCCTGTAGGAGGACATGCCCGTCCTAACGTTCGAGATCGGCCAGGGGCGACGCGAGATGGGAAGTTTCTCGGACGGCTTGGGGGGAGATTTTCCTACGGGTTTGCTGGTTCCCGGCAGTTTTCCATCCTCGGGATGCTGTCCAGCAGCTGCGCCTCGCCGAGGGCGCTCCGTGGGTGCCCGGATCCTCCCGAACGGCCGCCCGAGCCTCAGCCACCGTGGGTCTCGAACACCCCCTGCTTGTCTTTGTCGGTCGGTCGGCAAGGGCACGGCTGCACGTAGCCTGGGAGCGGCGAACACGGCTGGGGAGAAGGTGGGGCAGTGCACATGCAAAGAAAGAAAGACGGGCTACATACCGATCGCCGGCCGATTAGGGCTCTCAACGGTATGGGGCCGCCACCGATGTGCAAAGCAGCGACGCGCGAATGGCACCGCAATGGTGGGATCTCCCACGGTTCCAGTCGTGGCCCCAGTGTCAGCAGCGCAATCAGCGAACACGGCAGCACCACGCCGCCAGAGGCGGGGGGGAACGAAGGGCGCCGAATTACATCCACTGCCTCCCTGATCCGATACGGCTTGGGCCAAAATGGCTACGGGAGGAGGAGGAGGAGGAGGAGGAGGAGGAGGAGGAGGAGGAGGAGGAGGAGGAGGAGTAGGTGGGGGAGGAGTGGGAGG